GGCCTCCTTCATAGCAGCTGCAGCATTCTGTGACCACTTAACACTGACTTCAATGATGAGCTGGAGACTATGGTGGAGGCAGACACTTATATACACGACTAAAGACCCAGACCGCATGAAGGCTCTGGTTAGCCTCTGCTCATGTGCAGCAGTAGCTTTTTGTTTTACGATATTCCACGTCTAACTACACTTAGAAAAATGGGTAAAATTTTGTACTTTTGCTTCTCACTGGGGCTGTACCCTCAAGGTTCTTCCAATTGTACTTTTAGCTGTAGTTAATTGTACCTTTTGAAATACCGAAAAGGACTCTAAGGAACATTTCCGTGCCATTTATGCTGTTTGTACCTTTGGCATGTTCCTCAAAGATCATTTCTGTACTTTCAAAGATACAGTTAACAGGGGTACACATTTTTACCCTTGTTTCTGAGTGTGTACCCAGCCAAGTTAATAAGGTAACTTAGTGAATATGGTGGTTCCTTAAACAAAGTTAGCTTCCCATGTGGTTATGTAGACTGTGCAAGAAGGTTTTCTCTATTTAATTCATTTGCTAATAACACATGTCTGGAGCTACACTGAATAGGGGGTTGTCAATGAGTACATCACAAGTCCCTTGGTAGCCCTGTGCTACATGTGTTTTTTGCTACATGTTTTGAACATAAAATGCCATAAAAACACATCTCTCACCTTAACTGATGCAGAGGTTAGTTGGCTTAACCTATGTTTGTGCAGGACAGTTGTCTTTGACACAAAAACTATTTTTATGTGGTAGTCAAACCTACAACAATACATATATAAATATACACTGTTCAAAAAGATTTAAGGAACACTTTTTAATCAGAGTATAGCATCAAGTCAAACTTCTGGGATATTGATCTGGTCAGTTAAGTAGTAGAGGGGGTTGTTAATCAGTTAATGAAATTAACAACAGGTGCACTAGGAGGAATGATTTAACAGGTGGGGGCCACTGACATTTTTCCCTCCTGATCTTTTCTGACAATTTTTTCACTATAGTTTTGCATTTGGCTACAGTCAGTGTCACTTTTGGTTGCATGAGGTGACACCTGGACCCTACAGAAGTTGCACAGGTAGTCCGACTCCTCCAGGATGGCGCATCAATATATGCGTAGAAGGTTGTTAACCCCTCAACAGGACCGGTGTCTGCTACTTTGTACAAAGAGGAACAGGATGAGCACTGCCAGAGCCCTACAAAATGACCTCCAGCAGGCCACTGGTGTGAATGTCTCTGACCAAACAATCAGAAGCAGACTTCATGAGGGTGGCCTGAGGGCCCGACATCCTCTAGTGGGCCCTGTGCTCACTGCCTGGCACTGTGGAGCTCAATTGGCATTTGCCATAAAATACCAGAATTGGCAGGTCCGCACTGGCACCCTGTGCTTTTCACAGATGAGAGCAGGTTCACCCTGAGTTCATGTGACAGACCTGAAAGGGTCTGGAGAAGCCGTGGAGAACGCTATGCTGCCTGCAACATTGTTCAGCATGACCGGTTTGGTGGTGGGTCAGTGACGGTCTGGGGAGGCATATCCATGGAGGGACACACAGACCTTGACGGATAAGACAGCGGCACCTTGACTGCCTTTAGATATCAGGATGGAATCCTTGGACCCAATGTCAGACCCTACGCTGGTGCAGTGGGTCCTGGGTTCCTCCTGGTGCACGACAATGCCCGGCCTCATGTGGCGAGAGTATGCAGGCAGTTCCTGGAGGATGAAGGAATGGATACCATTGACTGGCCCCCACGCTCGCCTGACCTAAATCCAATAGAACATCTCTGGGACATTATGTTTCAGTCCATCCAACACCACCAGGTTGCACCTCAGACTGTCCAGCCTGAGGTGCAACCTGAGTGAGCCTTAGTGACTGGAATTGCACATGGTTATTACATTATATTGCACGGTACTATTGCAGATGGTTACTATATTGTACAGAGTAAACATGAAAATGCAGGTATGAGGTATTTCAGAAGAGCTATGATCTAAACTTAAAGTGCGTTCAGAACCCTGATGGCTTGTGGAACGAAGCTGTTACACAGTCTCATGGAGGCAGAACAGAAGCTACGATACCGTTTGCCAGATGGTAAGAGTGAAAAAAGTCCATGTAATGGATGGTAGTGATCCTTCACTAAGTTTCTGGCTCTGTTGCAGCAGCGGGTCTTGGAAATGTCTTTCAAGTGAGGTAGGGGCACACCGATAACATTCTCTGCTGCTTTCACTATCCGCTGCAAATAGTTCCGGTCTGAATGCAGTTTCCGTACCAGACCGTGATGCAGCTGGAGAGAAGGCTTTCCATGGTGCTGTTGTAGAACGTCTTGAGGATCTGTGGTGGGAGGCGCGCTCTTTTCAGTCTTCGCAGAAAGTGCAGCCGCTGACGAGCCTTCTTAGCTTTAGAGGAGGAGTTGAGGGACCAAGAGAGGTCCTCCGTTATATGGACGCCCAGGAACTTGGTGTTTTGCACCCTCTCGACAACAGCGCCGTCGATGGTTAGAGGTGGATGCACAGTGCTAGATCTCCTGCATTTGATGATTATTTCTTTTGTTTTGTCCACATTTAATGAGAGGTTGTTGGTCTTGCACCAGTCTGCCACTCTTCCCATCTCCTCTGTGCATGCTGTGATGTCATTGCTTTTGATGAGGCCCACCACAGTCATGTCATCTGCAAATTTAATGATTTGGTTTGAGCTGAGCTCTGCTGTGCAGTCGAGAGTGAGTAGCTTGAAGAGCAATGGGCTGAGCACACAGACCTGCGGCGCGCCTGTGCTCAGTGTGATGGTTACCATACTCAGCGGTGCGGGATTGTGTATCACTGACAAACTGTAAGTGACTGGTCCTGGAATAATTACATTCAATGCTGTAATGCTGTAGTGCAGTTAACCGCTAAGTTGTTAGTATGTAACTTTTGAGGAGATCTGATGCTGAGCATATTGCAGTCGGATTCTCTATATTCTGTGTTCGTTGTTCTAGGTGTGTACTCTGTATGTTAAATCCATTTGTTAATTATCGTTAGACTCTGGAATGTTTATCAGGGACAGGATATTGCATTATGAGGGCAGTAGTATTATTGTTACGTGTTCTATAGGTACTGGGTTAACCAGTAAATGGTAGTACTGTCACATGATGGATGATTGGAGGTTGTATAGAGTAGTTCTATTTGTGTTACTTTATCTGAAGATACTTTCATGTTCTCATTGCTTGAGTTGTTCATACAATTCTATTTCCTTCCTTAAACCACAAGTACACCCTGTCTACAGCTAAATCATTGCACCTGTAACAGCCAGTGGTCAGCCTGTGTCAAATCCATGTGCATTACTGTACTGCTTTATTAAGCCCAGTAAAGCTCAGAACTACATCTGCTTCCCAGGGTGTTGTTACTGACAACCCAGAGAGGTGTCATCTTACCGGTATGCACCTTATACAGTCCTGTGATCATCTCACCAGTTTAACATGTACAGTTGATTTTAGTATAAGGACAGTTTTGTTAATTGTTCTGCCTTAACAGGAGAGCAACCCAGGGCAGGACACAAGAGGGAGGCCGCAGATATCCTGTCAACAGCTCAGGACTGACAGCTCTCAGTGGACCTGAAGCAACAGGTCATCTGTGAGAAACATCTGGTTCATCATATGGTGTGATGCTAGGCATCACAGGAAGAGAAAGGAGCAGAGCCATCAAGAACATCACCAAAGCAGCTGAGAAAGCCTTGAGATAGCTCTGGATCTGGAGAGGAGATCCATGGGGACTAGTGCATGAACACACACCGTGGTCTGATAAACCGCTTGATGTGGCCATCTTCTCCACATCTGAAACAATACAGTACCATGGTTTTGACCTATTCCTTTCACTGTTGGCTTTAACAGTTGTTTCAGAATGGGTTATCTTCAGATTGTCAATCTCAGCCAGGGGATTATTGGTAGCTGGTTTAGTGAGTGCTTTCTTTATATCCTTTTTGTGGTCCCTTTGTGTCATTCTAAAAAGCTGCATGGGACTACAAATCAGCAGTTTGTCTTTGCTGATCCTGTAGTTTAGAGTTTGACTCTTTCTGTGGTGGTAAGTTGCTTTCGTCACACTGGACATGTGTGCCTTGGAATTGTGATGACACCCTCTGCCTTGTAGCACCAAAGTACCAGCTCATGTGACAGACTTTGGAGGTTTGTTTGTTTTCTTCCATGCGGAGTAGCAGAAGGAGCTCTGAAAAGATAGGTTGGTTCCATTTCTTTTGTTCAAGATCTAGTCCAGATATCAGGGTGTTAGCCTAACAACTTCTGCAAAATTGTTTCAAAAGCTGGAAATCCAAATCTGCACTCTAACTGTGTGCACATCCATGTAACAACGTGCTTGCAGCGGGATCACATGACTTATTTTGGAATTTACCCAGAGTCAACAAATGCTATTTTATGATTAGCTGGTAGGTGGCTATTAACTCTGTAAAATTAGGGACAGTTATGTGGCATGTGAACATGTGAACTGGTTGAAATGCGTGTGTCTCACGGTCAATGTGTGAGACTTCAGAGCCCTGTAAATGTATGCATTAATAAACAAACCTAACAGAATATGGCAATAAATGATAATGATATGAAATGTGAGCAGAAATAAATCTGTTGAGAAAATTGTTTTATTTCTTCCAGTGTTTATTTAATTTTTGAATTATTTCTTATTGAGTTAATTAATATTAGCCATAGAAAATAATGAGGTTATACGTGCCCGTTCAGTGAGAAATGGCCTGGTTTTTACTTCACGCAAAAGCGGGATCGCGTCCGCTTAAAGTGAAAAATAGCCTTTAGGAAACTAACTTTGGCCTCATGTAAAGCGCAGCGTTAATTATGACTGCGAACTTTATTGCAAATCTATCTGGATAAGCCTTCCTCATAAAAATATATTGCCTAAGCTATTATAAAGTTAAACGTTCGCATTTTAAAATACGCAAAACAAAGAAAGAACATTTCTTTTTTTGACCCCGGAACGTTGAAGAGTTACACGCTTAGTTTCCAGGGGACTCTAATTGTGGGTACAGATGTTAATAAAAAGATGGCTGCCCTAGAGTAATCTGTTTTGCTTTTGTCACGGTCTTTATCACCAAAACCTGTCGTCTGATTTATTATTTTTTTTTAACATTTACGGCCAGATGGGGAGAAGCAGAAGCAGGTCACCACTAAGACGAGGTATGTTGTGACAAATAAGAGCATTCATCAGCTAACTTAATAGCAGTCGGTTGGCTAACTGTAGCTGTTAGCTGCTCTATTCTCTTCTGTTTCTGTTCATCCTGCATTTGAAGTGAACCTCGCATCTGACCGATTTAATCTAGTGGTGACTATTAATCAAACGGAGTTTTATTTAAAAGATGAATTATTTCAAGAAATAGATGCAGTTAAAATATCGGAAATGCCGCTGATGATAATCTTCCATCATTCCCAGAGAGGCGTCGCTCTCGCTCAGCCTCCCGAGACCGGGAGCGGCGGCGCAGAGAGAGGGAACGCTCCAGATCGCGTGAGAGGGACCGGCGGAGAAGTCGCTCCCGCTCCCCGCACCGGCGCCGCTCCAGGTGAAGCCGATATCATACGCATAACGCTTTAATCGTGAGATGTACGGTCAGGAACCATCATGAACGTGTAACTTTTTTGCCCGTCAGAGTAGTGGTAACTATTAGGGAAGTTAATGGTATGGCATTAAAATAGACATTTTCTGAAATCATCTGTGCCTATTTCACAGGACCGGACACCAGATATTAACGCCGGTTTTTATTAACTGGACAAGTTCTGCTGCCAGGGTCATGACCTATGCCTTTCCCCAACTCAGTTCCAGGGTTGCCAGTTACTTTTCCATTTTTATAGCCCAAATCGGGAGTAAAAATAGCCTAAAGGTATCCCAAAATCTGACCCTTCAAAAACTGAGATTTGTTGGTTGGATGAAATTAGTCTTACCTTTTTTTTCTTATGAGTATCCACCTGCAGCATTTTAACATGAACATGTCCAAGCCAATAGCTGGACTATTTATAATTTTCATTTTTTTAGGTTTTGTAAATGCTAATGTTAAGTCTTGACAACAGCTCCTATGAGCGCACAAAAGAGGCTGACCTCAGTCCATCCATTTGCAGTGCAAATTACACATGTACCAAATTATACTGCAGTTTTACATCAATTCCCTTTTGGTGGTCATCTGTTAGGAATGTAGCTTGAGAGAATACACATTCTACATGAGCTTTTGGAATGGGCAGAGACAAAACCTGTGGTACACACAGAGCAATGTCTTTGAAGTACTTTTTTCCTCCTACAAAACCTCAAACCAAATTTCTCCATGACAGTCTTCTCTGTAAGACTGCAACAGGACAGCTTTCTTCACTAGTTCTCCAATTCATACAGGGAACAGGAGAGAACCTCATTTGGTAGTCTGCCTACTGCAGGCTTTCTGTTGCAGAATTTCCAGTTTGCTCAACATATGGAAGTCACATTTGATGCTGTGTTAAAAGCATCCTAATAAAGTCCAAGCTGCATTTAAGAATTGCATCTATAGTAGCATCACTCGGTTTACTAACGTCCATGGTTTGCTGAAATGTCACTTCCAGATCAGAATCTGCTACCAGCTGTAGGTAGTTGGTGTCATCCTTATACATTTCTGCAAGAAGTCTGGCAGTATAGCAGTGCTCTATGAAAGCCGTCTTATTGGAGTGTGCTGTTAGTGCATCAAACTGGTCAAGAATACATTGAATACAATCAGCTATCATAAGCCAGGGTGCATTGCTGGGAGAAATAAGCTTCAGAGGGCATTGGTCACCTAGATTTCGGGCAGAATTCTCTGTATCCTGACTGTCGTTTTGCAGAATGTGCAAATCAGTTGTAAGTCTCCCTTACCATGTACTCGATATTGCTAGGAAGAGTTTACATTACCTTGCAGTTTCGTCAAGTGAGTGCAGAAATGGGCACAAATACATGAAAAAGTATTTGGCTACAAACTATAAATGCTTTCTCATCAAATGTAACAAAATAAAATACAATATAGTGGTGTGAGAAAATGTATTTAATTAAAATGCAAGTAATTTGCAATTTGAAAATACAAAAATACATAAATGGTACATGACGAATACATGTACTATTACAGTCCTAGTAATATGTAGTATTTACAAAATACACAGCTTGCCCTAACTAAATTGAATAACAGTTTTGTGATTTTCATGTTATAGTAGGGATGTGCAATACGACGATATATATTGGATGACGAAATAAAAACACCTATTGTTTCATATTATGCCCTTTTTTATTTTGTGGTGTTGGAAAATACACTGTTTATGGCAACATTTTTTCATCATTTGGGTGACAGTTTTGCAAGGTTTACAATAATGGGCAATATACACTATCCATTATCTATACTCATCGGTGTTGTTTGTACACTTTCACAACATGATAATCACTACAAAATACCAACGTTCAGGTAACGCAGATTTTTACTGGGTATCAGCCATACACATTAGGGATGGCACGGTTCATGAGAAAAAACCGAACCGTTCGGTTCGCTTGTCTCGGTTCGGAGCATGCATGCGTCGCACGGTTCGACGGTTCATGACATGCGCAATGATAGCCTCGTGCCCCGTATGTGACATCAGTGTGTTTCCCTTTCGTGCAAAAGAATATGCACAGAGCGGTGTGACGTAGCTCCGGTAAAAGTTCAGCCAGCTAAGTAATTTCCGGTAGCCTTTCGTTTGCTGCGATTAGC